CACTCAGTTCCTCACAGTTCCACACAGTTCCACACTCAATTCCTCACAATTCCACACTCAGTTCCTCACAGTTCCACACAGTTCCACACTCAATTCCTCACAGTTCCTCACAGTTCCACATGGTTCCTCACAGTTCCACACAGTCCCACACAGTTCCTCACAGTTCCACACTCCGTTCCTCACAGTTTCATGCAGTTCTTAATAGTTCCTCACAGTTCCACACAGTTCCTCACAGTTCCTCACAGTTTCACACTTAGTTCCTTACAGTTCCACACAGTTCCTCACAGTTCCTCACAGTTCCCACAGAGTTCCTCACAGTTCCTGCACTTCCCCACACCGGCTCACACACTTCCTCACACGGTTCTGTGGCTCCTCACGTGGCCACATGCACTGCCTCCCAGTTCTTCAGTTTCCCACACGGCTCTGCACACAGGCTGCCGCGTTTCCCCTTAGGCCTCCCCATGCCCCACAGTGCTTCTGTTTTTCACACAGCTCTCCACAGCATTCCACACAGGTCCACACAGCCCCGTTTCACCCACTTTCATAGTTTCGCACAGTTCTGCACACAGTTTCTCAAGTGGGTCCTCTCACAATACCTCAGACGGGGGCTCACGCGGCTCCTCTCAGGCCCTGGCAAGTTCCTCCGTGTTCCCGCACACTTCCCCCCAGTTTCCTCCACATTTCCACAGATCCCCCAAATCCCTGACGTAGCGTTCACGTGGTTCCCCATGCCTTTCCCAGCAGCCGCCTACCTGGCTCCGCGCAGTTTCTCACAGCTCACCACTGCTCCCCGAGCAGCCACATGGCTCCTCAGCGTTCCCTCACGCAATTCCCACGCGGCCCCACACCACTCCACACACCTCTGCTCCCATTTCCACAGGTCCTCAGAGTATAGGCATCTCCAGCTCCACGGAGCCCTGACGTGGGTACCCACATGAGCGTACACTTCCCCCAAGCGGTTTCCCCAAACGCTTCCCACCTGGTTCCCCGCCTTCCCTACACGATCACATTCAGCTTCTCACAAATCCTCCCACAGTTCCCCACGCAATTCCTCACACGGTTCCTCACATACTTTCCCACAGAGCTCCTCCCATAGCTCCACAGACAGTTCTGCACGGTTCCCTCACGTGATTCCACGTAGCTCCCCACCCTGTGGCACACACTTCCTCTCCCGGTGCCACGCACAGCTCCTCATGTTCCCACGCAGCTCTGCTCAGGCCCCCAGAGTTTCTCAAGTTCCCCCCACGGTTCCTGAGGCATTTCTTCCTCTGGCCCTCACACAGGTTCTTCCGGCTTCTGACATAGTTGGCCACACAGTTCTCTGCAGGCTCCCCACACAGTTCCTATGGTTCCCCACACAGTTCCCCACACACAGATCCATACACACAGCTACACACACACAGTTCCCCACACACAGCTCCACAAACAGCTCCCCACACAGCTCCCCACACACAGCTCCACACACACAGCTCCACACACACAGCTACACACACACAGCTACACACACAAAACTCCACACACAGTTCCCCACACAGCCCCCCAAACAGTTCTACACACACAGCTCCACACACACAGTTCCACACACAGCTCC